ACTAGGTAAGGTATCCTGTCACGGAATAAAAATTCTGTATTTTTGTCTGTGTTTTGTCTTATTTTTTTATATTTACCGTATTTCTTACCATTTATTTTCGGTTTTCGTTTTTCCATGTGATAGTCGGCGATGCCGAAGCCGTCTCTGTTTGTGTTTTCTTTTCAATATTCTGCATGTTTTTTGTGATCCTCTCATTTCTTATTCCTTGTATGATTAGTCTTTGAGTTTATTCTGCAGGGGAAAAATTGTTTTTCAATATTATTTCGTGTTTGTATTTACTTGTCTTCTTGGAGCGGTGGTTACGCCTATGTTTTGACCGTACCGTTCTTGTGTTTTCGTGCCTGTTGCACAGCCGTTTACGTATCCTTTCCCCCTTTTTTACGAGTTTCTAGCTTTCATCGTGTCTGTAGTTTTCCTGTAGAAATTTTCGTGAATTTTTGTTAGTCTCATGTATTTAGTTGCCGAATGATTTTTCTTAAATATTTGTTTTCTACTCACCTCTCGTCTCTCTTATTTCATTTATTCATCTTGCTTTCTTGTATGGTCTTCAGTTTATTCAGATTGTTATTGAATCAATGGAATCGGATTCGATCGTTTCCCACAATCTGCTCTTGTCTCGTTATTCAGTGTTTCAGTTTTCGTCGGGTCATTTCATTGTTTTCATAGTAGATTTCAACGTTCTTTTAATTATATATTGTCTCTTCTACGGATAAGATTATATTCCAAATTGCGAATCAGTGATTGGTAATAATAATAGTAATAATTTCGATGTTTGTCTGTTTTATTTATTCCTCAGGGCGGTGGTTACGCCTTTGCCTGACCATTCTGACCTCATGTTTTCCAGGTCTGTTTGTATGGTCCTTTATGTGACTTTTCCTTCTTTCTGAATTTCCAACTCTTGTTGTGTCTATGATTTTTCTGTGAAGGATTTTTTCCATGCGTTGCTTGTTAATTTTCTGCGTTTTTTAGCTTTGGATGGTTTCTATTTTTTATGTACTTATTCTATTCACCTTTCGTCTTTTCTTTTTCTTTTATTTGTCTTACATTCTTGTGTGTTCTTTGGTTTTTCAGATTATTATTAAGTCGACGGTGTCGAATTCAGTTGTTACTCACTATGTATCTTTGTCTCATTTTATTGTTTGACTTGGTCGGGTCATTTGTTTGTTTTCTTAGAAGGCTTTCGTTGTTTTATATTTGTATTATGTTTCCTTTAGGAGTAGAGTTATATCGCAAATCAGTGATTGTTAATAAAAATAGTTTTTGGTGTCTGCCTGTTTTATTACCTTTGAATGGTGGTTACGCCATTGCTTTGGCCATTCCGGCCTCGTGTTTTCCAGGTCTGTTTTTCCTTCAGGAAGATCCCGGATCCGATCCCGAGTCGGAGCCAACGCTCCCGAGTCGGAGCCCGCGTAGACCGAGCGCTCTGATTGGTCCGTGTTTTTTGTTAATAACTCGGTAACCAAGCCCCATTCTGCATTTTGCCAAAGGAAATTGTTGTTCAGGAAGACCCTCCCTATCTGCCATTTTCGGCTCTTACACCCTTTACGGAACACCCTGTATAT